CCTGTTGAGTTTTTTTCAGTCACGTAACTTTGAACAGACGCTAAACGAACTGTTGCTTGAACAGGGGGCTGGACTAGAAGACCTCCGAGGTGCCTTCCGTCATTCTGTTATTCTCTGTAATGTTTACCTCTTTCGGTGGACAGAAAGTCTAGTCCTGATTTGCTTCTCCGTCCAGATCCAGATGCGGCTCGCCCAAAAAAACTCAACAGGCCTTCGTTTAGCATTTTGCTCTTCCAAAATGAGGCCCTGGGTCAAATTCATGCGTGCTGCGGCTTGAATTAGGAGGCTGTTTACTTGTCACTTGAAACTTGGATCCGTGCACTGAAGTCCTGATCCAGTCCGATGGGGAGCAGGTTTCGGCATGAGCTCATCGGGACAATCCAGAGCTTCCACAACGAGAGGAAAACGTGGCCAAGCACAAATGTTACCCATCTGGTCGTATTTCTTTCAACTCGGTGTCTCTTCAGGTTTGCTTTAGCAAGTTGAGCCAGATGTTGACACGGGCTCAATTTACAGCTGTTGGAATCGAACAGGCTGAGTGCATATCCTGGACATAAACGGTTTCACCTCCTACCCTCACAATGACGTGACAGAGCATTGCACACACCAGAACAACTAGCTACAAGGACGGTTTTCTCCCCAGACGCCATCAGTCTGGTAAACAACTCACTCCCACAACACTGCCAAACTGTTTACTAAGACTGCGTTACTATTCTTCTTCTCATCGTTCCTATTACCTCTCTTCTTTTGTAGTTAGGCCCATAACTTTGTTGCTTGTATCTTTACAACTTATATTGTTTTATTTAGTTTCCCAGTATGGTTTTGATTGCTTATCTAGTATCCGATGTCGATCACTAAGTGTTGTACCTTATGATTCCTACTGAATGTATTTATGTACACTGAGAGTTTATGCACCGAAGACAGATTCCTTGGGTGTCCAATCACATTTATATAAATGCATTGCTCAGGGCTGGAAGATCTGCAGGGCGATACATACACCCAGTAAACATCTTTTTACAGATTAACAGAGTTGGAAAGGTTCTGGTAGGTCATCTAGGCCAACCCCCTGCCTAGGCAGGAAACCCTACACCACTTCAGACAAAGGGTTATCCAAACTCTTCTTAAAGATTTTCAGTGTTGGAGCATCCACAACTTCTGTTCCACTGGTTAATTGTCCTCACTGTCAGGAAGTTTCTCCTGAGTTCTAAGTTGCTTCTCTCCTTGATTAGTTAGCAATAGCAGTTAGACTTATATACCGCTTCATAGGGCTTTCAGGCCTCTCTAAGCGGTTTACAGAGTCAGCATATTGCCCCCAACAATCTGG